TTGGTGACACTGTAAGTTAAACACTTTCTTCCTGGATCCACATTTTTCACATATATTTTATAATCCACATGTATCAGAAATTCTGTCATCAAAATTTGGATACAACATGATTTTGTTGGTTTGTTCTGTACACATGAAGGAAGGACAGAGGGTGTTGAAGTCTCCTGGGGAAAATTGTGATTTGGACTTAATGAATGAAATTGGCTTGACTTTATTTGACAGCAGTAACCAGCAGTTCAGTCAGCCAACTCACGTTTGGAATGATTATTAAGCAGTATAGCATATTTAGATTTTAGCGTCTAGGTTTCCGACCTCATCATTCCCCGCAGATATATTTACATAGAGATATTGGGGAGTGCGTGACCATGTGACATTCTGTCTATTCGCAGAGCTTGAGTCATTGAAGAGGGGATTTACGTTATATGAAAGCTAAAAACATGAGCTTTTAGAGGGCTTTTTTTATATTATACATTAACCTCTGAAACATTTGGATTGCTTTAAACTGGCAAGAATCCTTTTACCCAGAAGATTTACCCAGACTGTATGTTGTATCATCTTATTCCAGAAGAAGAGTTGGGTGGCTCACTGAGTAAGAGGAATGTTTCCCACCCTCTTTTACCTCTAAAAACAAAGAAAGGTCCACTTCTGAACCCTTGTCACTGGTGGAATACCTCTACTGGTTGTGCCCAGCTAAATGAAAAATGTTTCTTTCTTGTTTTTTTTCCATGTTAGAATTGCAGCCCTTTGCCGCGTGTCATCCCTTCTCTCTGCCTGTCTGTCTTCAGCTGTCACTATCATAAAGGCAATAAAACCCCCCAAAAATACTTAAAAAAACCAAACAATTATTGGTAATTCACAAGAAAAAAGAAAAGATGAAAAGAACATCTGCTCTCCTATACTGTTAATCATCTAATGATTTATCTTGCTGCCCCCTGTTGTGCTCCTGCTCCCCAGGATGGGAATGACCAGACAAGAAATCAGGATTTGTCTCTGGACCACTCAACTGCTGCCAGGGGAGGATTGGAGCAGCAGCAGAGTTCAGGTAAATGAGCACAACTATACATCTGACTAAACAGCTTCATAATAATCTATAAAATCTCTTCTTCATGTGAGTTTAATTTACTAAAATCAGAATTCAACGGTTTTCAGAAGAGATACAACATCAGGAGGAGAACCAGCCCCGTGGGCACTTGACTGTAACCACAGACACAGAGACTGCCACCAGGTAGTTACTTTACAGTGTAGACATTGGGTTCTACAGTACTTGAAGGTCTCTTTAGAGACAACCTTTTAATATAAAGAACCAAGTGGTTTTTATCCCAAAAGCCAAACTCAGTGTTATATAATTTATACCAGGTGTCCGTTTCACAAAGAGATTGTCAGACTGTTAGGCCTAAGTCTTAACAGTTCTTCCAACTTTCCATGGTAACAATCAGTGACACCTGCTGACCAGTGGCACCACATGACATGAAAATAGAAAACATGGCTCATAATTTGTGGTTTGTTAACAATGTTGAGGAACAAGCAGGGGCGCCACCAATGATTTTGGGCCTAATGAAAATATATTACACAGGGACCCACCACCACAGGTCACACCAACCTGCACAGTTATTGTAATCACACCTCCAGAACCCAATGGACCCATTCAAAGCATGAAATAACTGTACCTTTGCAGGATTGCAACTGTCTAAGATAATAAAGAAAAAGCCTTGTGCAACGGATTCATTTAAACATTTACCTAAAGTCTGTCTATCAGTTTGATCTCCATCTAAACACCATGAATAATCATTCTTCAGTCCTGTTAACTGACTCCCTGCTGTCTGTTTTCAGGGCCAACAGGACCAACGAGGATGGCGGAGAACATCAGGCAGAGCGTCAGCCTGTGCACCCAACGCAGACCTGGAGAAGCCGGCTGGTTGAGGTTCTGCTGCGTAGTACAGCTAATGGCCTCTGTACCTTAGTGTTTGACGCTCTGAATCCATGGATGGTTCAGACCCTGCAACCTTGGATGCCTGAGACTTTGGGGCCCCGGGCAGCTGAGACGATTGTGGATCATGTGCTCTCAAAGGCTAGGGTTCAGGTGGACCTGATGGCTGAGACTGTAGCCCATTGGGCTGCTGATAGAGTCTGACGTTGGGAGCCATGACAACCACATCAGGCAAGTACATTTAAGTTCATTAAAGGCTCAAAGGTTATGAGGCAACAGGGTAGCCGGAGCACAACAGGCAGGAGAGGCAGGTAGCAGAATAGCTAGCAGCACAAGCAGGCTCACAAACCCAATGCTGATTGGTCACATGGCAAACAAACCAATAGCAGGGAAGAGGCTAGCAGGCTGAGGTTCAGACTGGACACCCTTTTTGCTGCACTGTGTATTCATTAATATTCATAGTATGTCAATATGTTTAAGTTCATTTGTTCAGATGGAGGAGACCAGAGGAGGATAGAAGTAAAGATAAGGAGAGTATCACTGACTGATAACTCTGTTTTCATCATCTACAATCTGATAATATTTCTATCAGTCTTTGTTATTGAGACTTTGGGTGGAGCAGTGGAAGAGCAAAGTGCAGACAATCACAACACAAGTTTATGAGTGGAGCTGTGATTTAAATCACTGTGATAACATTCAATTATTCATCACTTCAAATACTCTCTGAACTTTTCACTTCTACCTCCATATCTGGAGAGAACCATTATTTTATGAACTCGGTGGCCAAGTGTTGCTTGTAGTTTCTCTTGTAGGCATAATTCAAGTCATATATAATTAACTCAATAGTCCTCAACAGTTTGTCATAGCTTAAAACAATATTTGACCACTATGATTGTAAATATAATATATATAATCAATGCAGTTTACATTAACCCATGAAACCAACAGCATGTGTTTTAAAGATGCAAATGTTTGAAATTATTAAGTATTCTTCGAATAAATCTGTATCTGTAGCCTCTGGTTACATTACAGCTACAGGTAACCCTACATTAACAAACAATCTCTCTTCTTGTACACAGGGGGAGTCAGAATATCGATGAAGACTGAACAAAACCCCTGATGTCCATTTAGCTTAGAATGCAGTGAATTGTAATTCAAGATGATTATGATTATTATAATATAAATAAATGCATTTTACATTTTCTTCAGCCTTGTCATGTTTTCTATTTTGTCACACAGCTTAGGTTTGAAGGTGAAATAAGATGTGAATCAAGCACAGTGGACAGTACATTGATCACACTGACGATACACACACACTGTAAGAGACTCTACAAATGTACAAAGGGGGCAGATTTAAGTTCTATTAACTCTATTCTACACGTCCATATGAACATCTACTCACATTTCAGCAGGTGCTATATGATCATTCTATTCCAACTGACAACTCGAACTAAAGACAGTTCTGGTCCAATGGATGAACACTCGGTCAGAACTATGTGTGAATGATGACAACTGTAATTCAAAGAGATCCTGAGTCATGTCTGCACAGTGTTTACTCTGATTATCAGCCTTATCACTTCCTCTTGGTGTGGCACAGACACATTAGTCAGTCCCGCAGGAGAATAGTTGATCAGCGGTAGATAACACTAAGTCCCCTGCATTCCACCTAGTGCAAGCAGTTGGTAATGTTACACACAAGAAAAGCACTATAACCATGACCACAATATTAAATATTTCAGAAGCAAACTAACCATAATGAGTGTTCATTTGCATCATCCATATTTACATTTCTACTAGTGATCTTGAACTTCAGTCAAACAGGGTCTATTTGAGAAATGCAGTTTTAATCTGGGAGTCAATCTTAAACAGACTAGTAATTTTGTCCTGGGAGCACCCTACTCTGAATCTCACTGCTGGACTTTATTAAGACATACACACTGTTGTTGGCTCACCAGAAGTCAAATTTCCACAATTACCATGATGCTTAACTGTAAGCTTACATCAAAAAGTTACAGACCCATTGAAACCAAATGTGCACAAACATATGCTCTTTGGATTTCAAGACAAAATCTGTGTATTTCAGGAAAAATGTGTTGCATGACCCCAATCACACCCGATTTCAGATGTACTGGTCAGAATAGCAAGAATTCCCTGAAGCCCAGGTTCTCCAAAACAGCAGCCAAAACAAATGCAAGAATTATTTCCTCTGAGACTTATGTAACTACGTGGTTACACCACAATAAATAGAAGGTATGAAAGATATTTCAAATGTGCCCATTAGTAAGCACTAGCAATGCTATTGACTGTTGTCAGTGCTCATTTTGCACACCTAGTGTAAATCTGACCTATTACTGAGCTTAATTCTAATAGCTGCAGTTGTGTTATGCCTGTCACACAAGCGTCCAGCTTTTCAGCATGGAGCCGGAAGAGTCAGGACTGCCAAAATGGTGACTACACTGAGCCCTTTAAAAACCTATGGGTGGCGTCACCCAGACCATATTTTACACACTTCCTCAACATTCACTCCTTCCACAACTCAAGTGAACTTTATTTATAAACACTTTACACACACCACAGTTGACGCAAAGTGCTTTACAGGATGCACAGAATAACACAAGAACAAAAGAAAAAAGAAATATCTGTCACATTTCCACATTGCCTTAAAACTGGGCTAGTCAGTTCCTCTCTTTTTTGCCATTATTGGTAAAAAGAAAATCTTCATAACCTTTCAGCATATTGTAATTCAAGTGATGCTTCACAAAGACTGTGACTCAGATGAACAGTGTCTCTCTCTACTAGATTATTTGTGGCTTGACACCACAGGTTGTGACAACATGCCATTCTCAGCATGGGCTGGACAGTGATCAAAATATTTGAATTTCAATATTTAGGTTGAATTCCAGTGCCAAACAAATGAGTTTTCTCTTTATTCCACTTAGCAAATGAAGTCAGCAATTAAAAAGTGGATGTTTTTCTTTATGATCTGAAGATGACACTGCTGAGACACTCCCTGTCAAACTGTCATAACTTGATGGACTACTTATTACAACTGGAGTTCTCTATGAGGTAAATCTATTTATGTGTTTAGAATGACAGGTTATGCAGACAGAATTGAACAATTCATCTCAACTGAACAGTTTATAGTTCAGATTTCTGTACAGATGTAGAAACAGCAACTGAGGCCAGGTTAACATCCAGCAGATGTAAATATAGTAGATTTAAGTAGTGGCATCTGCATGGCATCAGGGAGAACTGAGTAGGAAGGGTGGTGCATGTGAATTCACCTGGCATGACAAGTGGTGACTTGTAGGTTTTAATTATCTTTAAGGGATTACCATGTCCTCACATTCATGAGCAATACAAAAAGGATTGCAGTCATGTAGATTTTAAGTCTCAAGTTCAGCTTGAGAAAGGGTTACAGGATTTTAGAAGGAAATTAATTACATTTCTTCCCAGCCACACTCACTTCTCATTAACATTTTCATAATTTTCTTGTGTCATGGGACCAAATGGACTACAAATGTGGACACAACAATTCTTCCAGGGGTTTTTTGAGGACTGCTCTGGGTTGCTTGAAGTTCAACACGTCAGTACTTGACCGAATCTTCCATGGAATCATTCTGAATATGGACAGTACTCAAAGGATTGACTTTGTTGGTACTGACAGGCTGAATGGAGACAAGACGAGGACTCTGCAATCGCTCCTGTAGGAATCAAAGTTATGGCAACTAAGCTGAACTGGAAAGATATTACAAAATACTGAACTAAAAGGTTGAAGGAGACCAAAACAGCTACAACCAGTACTGCAGGGAAGACTACCTAAGATTTAAATGACAAAATAGTGATTATACACATTAACTGTCACAGATGAAGCAATGAGAGCAATATGTTTTAGCAGTACAACACAGAACTGTACAAAACTGTGGTGGTCCTCATTGGGTTGTCATCTTTGATCAATGTAGAGATCACACACAATTTGGATATTATTTAAAAACTCTTTTTAGTTTCAGTGGAAGCAACTGACAAGAAAAAGATTCAACAACACATGGCATACCAGACACTCCTTTTACACAGCCGTGTATTTCCAATCACTCTTCAACAAGAGAACTGGATTAATTGTGCAAGAAATACAACTCGACATCACAGGTAAGCTGAAATTCGTCAGTGCTGTACAGTGGATTGGTTTTAGTTCTTCAGAGGTGAGGTTTTTCCCTTGCAGTTTAGTTGGAAACATAAGGAATTGATCACTTATTGCAATTGATGATTATACAGTAAGATTTGGCAGAAAAGGCTCTGCCTTTTTGGAGAAGCACCAATAATCTGAGCAGCAAAGAGGATTCTGTTGGTAGAGATCATACCCTCTAACGAGTAATGGTACAGAGTTATAGATAGCTGTGAACATACGTGAACATGTATGTAACAATAGCTTAGCCAGAACTCACTCAAGTGTAGACGTTTCTGCTGTGAATACAGCCTATCAACAATATCAATGATTCTGAATGAGCCTCAGTTCCCTTCTTACACAGATCTTAATTTAACATTGTGACAAACCTGATCTTAAACTTTTTTGTTTTAATTCAAATTCAGTGTAAAACAATTTAAACATGGGAACAACATTAGGGCGAGGCTTAATATCTCGCGTTGTAATGTGAGAGTGTACAATGAACCATTTATGTCATATCCGGTGAGCATTGCAGTAGCCAAGTTAAAAATAGAAAGAATAGAAGACTGTGATCTGTAGGGAACTCAAAACCACTGCAATGGTAAGATTTTTGGTGTTATCTAATTGTTTAAAATGCCTATGTATGTCTTTACTGTACCTATACTGATATAATAGTGAAGATGAACAGTAAGTCAACACGTTATTTTTTATAACTAACAAAACTAGCCAATCTGTTAGCACGTGTCTATTGTTGAGCGACAATAATAAGCGACAATAAAAATATATTCTTTCATGACAACATTTGATTAAACAAACTGGCTTTTCTAGTCCGGCTACAGTTAATGAGGACAGTTTGTCTATTTCGTACGGCAAACTGGAATTGATATTGTTCATGCCAACATGGCGGAAGAAACCTATGATGAGGTCATGGGGCGTTAAAAGCTAAAAACATGAACCCCCCTTGACACAATTTGTGACGTATAATACAGTATATACGCAAATTTGTGGTTATTTGTGATTGTGTATTATATTTAAGTTGAGTTTTTGTTATGGGCCCCATCATTGAGTCTGCCAGACTTTTAGAAGATAAATGTTAATGTCAAACAACAAACTTCTAAAATATCATTGTCCTGCTGTCTCACACTCAGGTTAGACTCATACAACAAGTAGAGCCGTCTCCTCCAGTGAGTATAATTATTCCTCCATTTTAGTACTTAAGCATTTCTGCTGTATAGTCACTCTACATTGTTTCAGTTTCACACACACACACACACACACACACACACACACACACACACACACACAATAAACATCTTTGACATTGTCGGCTTAACTGAAATATCGGTTATTGTATATTAAAATGGGTGTTGTACTCCTGATCTGTTTATTATCATCCCCATCATAGGTCCAGTGTGAGACCAACCCCACTGGTTTGAATGGAGTTGTGTTGTATGATAATGAAAATTATCCCATAACGTCTGTAAGTACATACAAAAATGAACATTTACTGTACCTGGTGATTTTTCATGTTATGTATTTTACAATTGTCTTTCAATGATCCTTACCTTTTAAAAAAAAAAAAAAAAAAAATTATTGTTAATTCTCAAGAAAAAGGGGAAAGATTAGAGAAACATCTGAAATGTTGTTTTCATCTGCTCTTCTATACTGTTAAACTTCTAATACTATTAATCTTCTAATGACCTTCTGATTTATCTTGCTGCACCCTGTGCTCCGGACCTCCAGGATAGGAACCACCAACCTAGAGGTCAGAATTCATCTTGGGACAATTTAACTGCTGCTGGATTGGACCGGCAGCGGAGCTCAGGTAAATGAGCATAAACCATCTATACGGAATCATAATCATCTCTAAAATCTTCATGTGATTTTGATTTACTAAAATCAGAATTCTACTGTTTTCAGAAGAAATACGACACCAGGAGGAGAGCCTGTGGTTTCAGCCCTATGGACCCTTGACATCTGATCGGAGATATGATGTACAACTAAGTCATCGTTCAGTTTTCCTGAATGACCCCAGGTAATTGCAGTATAATAATTCATAGTTTACGGTGTAGACTCCACACTATTCAAAGGTCTCTATTAGAAACTGCATTTTAGTATAAAGAACCACGTGATCCATTTTATCCCATTTACAGATACAGATACAACTGTCTCTCTTTTTTGTATGCAGGTGGTGTCCGAATGGTCCATTGGTGGCAATTATACTGCTCCTCCTCCTTCTCCTTATACTTATAATGGTCTTTTTTTTTGCCATAGATAATAAAAAAAATTTGCTTTAAATAAACGCATTTTGACATTTCTTCACTGGAAGACTGGGCTCGCTTTCCTGGAACAATTTTAAAATGATGAGATCCTGTTTAGACAGCAGGGATTCTTTTGTCACTATTGTGAATATAATTCAAAGTGCATGCCCTTGACCTGTTAGGCCCCACAAGGATTACTTGATGGCCCCCTGCTGTTAAACCTGTACATGCACCCACTTGTTCACATTTTTCACAGCAACAACCTTGCTTATCACAATCTTTGACATTTTGCCGATGACATCCAGATTTACCTAGCTCTGTCACAAAAGACTCCGGTCCTATGGAAAAGCATTGTGCAAGGTTGCTGCTGTCTTAGAGGACAAGGCAATGCAACCTAAAAGAAGGCTGCTTAACCTTAAGCAAACAAAAGAAGACTTGGAAAAAATTAAAAAATCTTTTATCTATCACAAAATTATTACGATACCACAAGAGTCAGACCAAAACCAAGTAGTCCATCACCCCAGTTCAAATCACGGTTGCCAGTAATCACAGAAATAATTTTAAAGTTAATTACTTATTTAATAAATCTTACAGGATGGCCTTAAATATATCCTTGATATGCTTGAGTTATATAATAGTGTGAGATGTCTTAGATCTCTGTCTAGAGGACTGCTAGTGATGCCAAGGTTAAAATCTAAACAAGGAGAAGCGGCTTTTAGTCATTTTGCACCACAGCAACTGCCTGATGACAATATTCACAGGTTTCCTGTGTTCCTATTTTTGAAGATGATATCAGAAAAATATTTGGTTCTCACTGCTTTGACACACTGTTGGTATATAGCCAGAAACTATTTCAGATGCTGGTAATACACTTGGAGTTTTAGATGTAAACGATATACATGCAGACAACCCAGTGAAATTTTTTTAAAAAAAAAGGAATAGATAGATGTAATACAACGCTTATCACCTGATCATTTTAACATACCGGTAATAATGTTTACATTTACACGTTACAAAGTGCTTCACCCAGGGCCACAACTTCATAACAAGTCGATTTTGCAACAGTAGTTGCCTATGGCTTTAAGATATTCTTAAAAGTTCTAAACAATATCACAACATCACAACACTATGGTGGCCTGTCAGGGTCTAATTTGACCAACCATAGTTTCCTGATTAACTGAAAATGTTGTTACACTTCTCTCTAACATCATGTTTTGCACCGTTGCTTTGGCAAAGCCTCAGTGTTTATTTTACCAGCATGGACCGGAAAAAGCAAGAGTGAACAGCAGTGAAGATCAGCTTGTGCCAGTGTCATTCTTTACCACTTTGTTTTCAATCGTTTTGATAGGCTATGTTATTAATAATGAACCTTCTCCACACACGGCCTACCTGTTAAAACAGAATCGTGGGTGACAGGAATTCTTAATGATAAAGAAAGTCCACAGAGTCACACACAGAGATCTAGAAATACAGAGCGGAAATCTAGGCGTAGTCTGTAATTTTAAATTGCTTAATTACCCCCCCCCCCCACACACACACACACACACGCACACATCCCCTCCATCCTGTGATATATACTACGAAGTCACTTCAAAAATGTTAGTAAAGATAAAGAGCAAAGGGACGATGATGCTTACAGAGGAGAATGAACAGTCAAGAGATGAGACTGACAGTGGGATTTCTCTATGAGGTAAATCATTCAAGATTTAAATATCTAAAGTGTATTATATAGTATATTATTTAGTTGCTGCTTCAATTGAGGTTCTGTGCAGACACTGTCTAATTAGAAGAGTCACCTCTAAATAATATTTTCATCATTTTCTTACAGTCATGGAACCGAATGGACTACAAATGTGGATACTACAATTCTTTCAACTGTGTGTGTGGGACTCTGTGTTGAACACAGTTGACACAGCTAACTTAATTGATACTGACTGAAAAGACACAAGATTACCTTGACCTTGATACAGTAGCTGTTGCAAAGTTATGCACATTTACTGTCACAGATTAACAATGATACTTAGTTATATTCTGTCAGGTTTGCATCTTTAGTTTCTGTGGAAGCGATTAACTGAGAAGATTCAACAACCATCAATCAACAATGATCGGATGTCCTTTTTACACAACCATGTATTTCCAATTATTTTGAAAGAAGAGAACATGATTCATTCTGCAAGAGAAACAACCCATCATCCCAGGTAAGCTGTAATGATTTAGTGATGTACGGTAGATTTGTTTTATTTCTTCTGAGGTATCATTCTTCCCTTATATTTCAGTCAGAAACACGCATTATGGAATTGACCATTTATTCCAAATGATGAAACTTGGTAGAAAAGGCTCTGTGAGGATTCAACTGCGAGAAATTCTGTTGGTAATTCCTTCAGGTTACTCATAGTTGAGATACATTAACATTAGACATGACAGTCTATGGGGCACCCTGACAGCTCAGCTAGTAGAGCCAGAGCCCCATGTACCAAGGCTGCCCTATCTATTAAAACTTTGTTTAAAGAAAAAAGCAATTGATTTGAAAGGTGGAGATATCTAAGATAATAAAATGTGTTTAAGTAGATTGTAACTTTCAGCCATAACTGTAACATTTAAAGACCCTACCTACTTACACAGAGGTTTTCTAAGTTATTGTAGTATCAGTGATTAAATTAGATTCCCTGCCGGAAAGCAAACATTTTGTGATGTAGCTTGGCGTCGGTGCAGTAGTGATGTTGCGCTAGCGATCTTTGAATCCGGTGACGTATGTAAGTCCCACCCAATAATTTCGGATGACTGGGAATCCTTGAAGTTCACTGATTTGCGGAAGGCCTATAAACACTAAAATGGGAATGTTATTGGTATCTAATTGTTTAAAACATCTACGTTTGTCTGTACTGATGCATACGCAATAATAAACTGACATCTGACACAATAGTGAAGAGGAATAGTTATTTAGCATGTCGTTTAGTCAAAAAATAAAAACAGCTAACCTGTTAGCATGTGCAGGGCTATATTGATGTTGGTTGACGATAGCAATACAAATCTATTCTTTTTATGACAACTTGAATGAACAAACTGTCTTTTCTAGTCCGGCAACGGTTAATGAGGGAAGCATGTGTGTTTTGCATTGTTAATGGGATAGAGATTTGCAATGTTCTCCTGTCGTGTCAAACTGAAAGTTGATGCTTACGCGGCAGTGGAAGTGGAAGCTACGTTAAGGTCATTGAGCAATATAACATCAAAGCTAAAAATGTATGATTTATGATATTGGCCAATATAAATAGACCTGACTTTATTTAACTTTCATGTGAGCAGTCAGCATAGAAGAGTTGGTTTTGTACTATTATGCAGTGGCTTTGTGATTTACCCACACTGTGTGACGTATCATAGTTGAGTTGTTGTACAAATGGGCCCATCGTGTTTGTTTGTTTGTTTGTTTGTTTGTTTCATCTCTGGTGTCAGTCCTGAAGTGAAATCAAAGTTATTCTCAAGAAAAAGGGGAAAGATTAGAGAAACATCTGAAATGTTGTTTTCATCTGATTTCCTATACTGTTTATCATCTAATGACCACTCTGATTTATCTTGCTGCCCAATGTTGTGCTCCTGACTTCCAGAACGGAAGGCACCGGCAGAGAGGTCAGGCCTCATCTTGGAACAACTCACCTGCTGCTGGTGGAGGATTGGACCAGCGGCGGAGCTCAGGTAAATAAGCACAAACCATCTATACAGAATCATAGTCATCTATAAAATCTCCATGTGAGTTTAATTTACTAAAATCAGAATTCAACTGTTTTCAGAAGGGATACAACACCAGGAGGAGAACCAGCCCCCTGGACACGCCACCAGGTAGTTAAGGTTGCACCATACTTTACACTGTAGACACAGTACTCACAGGTCCCACCAAAATGAACAAACTATTAGCCACTGCATTTCAGTACAACAAGTGGTTATTTCAAGATAACAGTGGTTTTGCAAACGATGCTTGTCTAGTCGTGTGTTTGTGTTATTTTGCAACTCTCTGTCCAATACTTACCGTACGATATTTACTATTAGTGAGCTATAAAAATATAACTATGCAGTGGAATTAACCAGCTGATGCAAACCTGAAGAGAATATGTGATATGAAAGATCTTTTACATGCAAATACAAATGTAATTTTAATGGTAACATTCTTGAATAGACATTTCTTAACATTATTATCTACAGAATGATGTAACAAACAAAAGAATATAATCAGCAGCAGATTTTTAAACTAAGGTTCACACTAATTAGAAAATACTGTCATGTTAATTCAGTCTGAGCCACTCAATGGTGTAAAAATAATTACACTGTTTGAATTCTTACCATCATCAAATATTTAATAGTTTGTCAAAAAACCCTGCTGACCCCCTGCAAATATCCCAACTGAAATGTCATTCAACACAACAGTTGGGAGTAGGGCTGGTTGATTGATATTGGGTATGGGAATGGGGAGACAGAGCTGCTGAGCCTAATGTTGTATCAGGCAGGGGCAGGAACAACTGATTTAGTACAAATAGTTAGCAAAAGGTTTGTCTGCATTGATTAAATGTTGGCTAAAGAGGAGCACATTGTGAACACTTTGTGAACATATTAAAGGCCCAGTGTGTAGGATTTAGTGGCATCTATTGGTGCAGTTGCAGATTCAAACTCCCTCCTTCACTTTCTCCTTCGGAGTTCAAAGGAGGAACTACAGTGGCGGCAAACTGCGCAAAAATGCTAGTCGTACTGGGACCATTGTTTGTTTGCCTTCTGAACTACTGTAGAAACTTGGCAGTTCAACGTGGCGGACTCCATGTAAGGCGACCTGCGGCATTTGTAGGTATAAAAGGCTCATCCAGGTGGTTATACACTAATGGAAATGTAGTTATATTATATACATGCTGTACATACATACAAACATATTGTCCACTGCTATTAATTAGTGCATAAATTAAATTAAATTAAATTTTATATAATTTTTAATAATTTAGTCTTGAAAAATGTTAGAATAATTTTTAGGGACACTGTCAGTAACAGGACCCCTAACCCCCCTAACAACAAGTGGGAAGGGAAAGGAAAACCTGTCGGAAAACATCTTTAGCTGTTTTCTTTTGTCCAAGAAAACTAACCTGAACCTGCCACAATAAGAAAATGCAGAAGCTCAGCTATGCTACAAGTCTGTGCTATGTTGAGATTTTATGTTAATTAAGGTGTTTGCATTGTTAGACTCTTCATGGAATTTTCCCAGTAAAACGTCCTTGTACAGGTTGAATCCTTCCAGAACAAAAGCAGAGTGCAGGGACCTGAGCAGGACAAGATCATTTCTCAGTCATATTTTTCACCCAGAAGGTAAAATTAATAAAAAGGTAGTCAAGAAATAACCTTGTGTAATGAATTAATTTAAACATGTACTTATAGTCTGAG